TATCCATAATATATATATATATCCCACTCTACTCTCCAATTTTTAAACTCAAGCTTCTGGAGCCTTCCTGTTGCTGGCTTACATTAGAATATTTTATTGAATCTATCTTCTGTGAAGTCTATTATCTCTCCTTATAGCTTTATTTTCTTCTCTCTGCCACTTTTCCTTTTTTGTTATTGTTGTTCATGTCTTTAGAAGTCCAATTCCCAAATCTGTTCAACAATCTGCCAAGAGCTCTGGAATCTAACTAAAACCAGATAGAGAAGATGGGAGTTCTTGTTCTGATTATGTAATATTGAAAATTAGACATTAGAGCATACAAGACAGAGGTTACATAAGAGAGATTCCCTCTAGAGGTTTAAGACTAGGGAGTTGTTCAGCACTTAAAAAACGATCATCTTTCAGCAAAAATTAGCAACAATAGCTCACAGCATCAGAGAACATTAAACACACACACACACACACACACACACACACACACACACATTGGCACCAAGTTGATTCAGACTCTTAGAGATTCTATAGGCCAGAGTAAAATTCCTCTCTTGGGGCTTCTGAGACTAAATCTTTATGGAGCAGACAGTTAGTAGCTGGTGGGTTTGAATCACTGACCTTGTCATTGCAGACCAATATTTAAACCACCTCACCAGCAGAGCTCTGGAACTCCTTCAGGGGCATGTTGTTAATGAAACACTGAGGACAACAGAGACTTTGAGTCTCTATTTTTGAGGAATGCAGTCTGAGATGCACAACACATTGACATGGACCAGTCAAAGAAAGAGAGAATAGACAGATAAAGTCACAGCAATAAAAACAAAAACAAAACCCCAAACCTTCACTACCACTGAGCCGTTACTAACTCATAGCAACACTATAGAACAGAGCCCCTGTGGGTGTACAAGACTCTAAATTTTTACGTGAGTAGAAAGTCTCGTCTTTCCCCCATGGGATAGCTGATTGGTTCAAACAACTAACCTTGTGGTTAGTAGCCAGACTCATGATCAACTTCATCACCAGGGATTGTGATCAAAATGCCTGCTAAAAGGTTATCCATAAAACCATCCTATAGCTACCTCACCTTTTCTTGCTGTGTTAATCATTGGTCCTCAAAGCTCAGAGAGCTATGCAATGTGTCCAAGATCATAAATTCAGGACATTGTAGCACGAGATTTCAATTCAGAACGGTCTGACTCCATGTGGCATGGCCTTTCCATTAGTAACAGATTAAAAAAATAAACTAATGTCACCATCTACATGTCAATGGCAAATGTAATTTGGTATAACAGAAAAATGTTTTATCAAATTCCCCATCATATAGTTTACTATAGAAGATGCATCATGTTCAAATTATCCAATGCAATTTGTACTTGACTTTGTGATAATCTTAGTAAGAACATGCCTTTTCTGTCTTAGAAGGGCAATTTTATTTCTCTAGTCCATGTAGAATATTATGAATCATTTTTCCTTCCCTTGGCTTACAGACGTTGTAGGGTCCACTAGATTCTAGTTGATAGGTGAAAGGCTACCTAGAATTATACCTTCCCCCACCGCCCTAGGTTGTGATATTCACCCTATTTACCAATGATTGTAGGAGCAAATGAACCTTGGTAGCACAGTGATTAAGGTACTCAACTGGCAATTGGAAGGTCCATGGTTCAAACCAAGCGCTACTCAATGGGAGGAAGCTGTGGTACTCTGCTTCGGTAAAGTTTATAGCCTTGGAAACCTGAGGCGCCTCTACTCTTCCCTGTAGAGTCGCAATGAGTCAGGATTGACGCAGCAGCAATCAGGGTATGGTATACCACAGACCAGTCCCCTGACAATCAATCTCTCCGTGGACAAGACAAATTCAACCTCAAGTTAGATGGACTGTCCTCAACTCACACATCTCCAGTCCATAACAGGATCTCATATTCATGCATGGATTAGAAATACAGTGTTCATTTCTAACTCTTTTCCCCATCCTTGGAGGCTCAGTAGAACAAAAATTAGTGAGCAAACATGTGAGCAGGAGTTTAGAGTTGTTTCTGAGACTTCTATGGCCTAAGAGAGAAAACCCAAAACCAAACCAGTTACCTTCAAAACAATTCATATGGATGGCGCTCCTGTGTGTCAGAGTAGAACTGTTTTCTATGGGGCACATTGAAAAGAGGGATTCAGTGTCCTCCACTGATTCAGGGAAGGGAAATGACATTTGATAAATAATACCAAGATAACTACCAATTGATTAGTATGACATCTTTCCCCTCCCTGCTCACCCCTACTCCTACAAAAAGTATACATGAGCAAATATTTAAATAAAACCATCTAAGATATTTTCTCTCTCCTCCTCCCTGCTTTGTTTCCATCTTGATGAATGAGTGTAACAGAAGGCTTATAATTATGGAAGGAAATAGTAAAGTTATGAATTCTGAAAAAAAACCAAACCAACTTAAGTCCAAGTGTTGGGAAACACTAAATATTTTCACCCTTGTGGGATACAAAGACATTAAGAAGAAAAAAACCCACAGCAGTTCATATGGAGACTTTTACTGATGGTTCAGTATGGAGACAGGAGAAAAATGAGTAGAGTTTGGACCATTGAATCAGCACTGTGAGCTCACGTCTTTAATTATTTTTAGTCCTATTTCTTTTGTAATGAAGCTCTTTTCAGATATATTCATTTTTATTCTTTTTCCTTTCCCCCCTCCATATTGACACCACCTCTTCTTATTCTCACCTCTCAGTTCATTTGACAGAACTCTAATCTCAAGGCAAAATCTGGGTTTAATACATTAGGTCTGCATGTGGGCAGAGAACAGTTATCGGAAAATGCGCTTTGAATCTTAAGTGGAAAACAGAAGAGTTGTCAATCAGAGAGTGGAAACAAATGTCTGATGTTTTTCATTCACTGTAGCCCAGGGTGGACCTTGTGACTCATGATCTGCACTAGGGCCAAATCCCCTTGATTCTCTAGTAGAATACAAATTATAAGCCTTGAGTTGAAAATGCCTGCAAGGGGTTTTCATGACCACTACATAATTTTAATGACAGGATTTGCATCTGTACTTTTAAAGGACCAAATGAGTTGTGGGAAAGTGTTATTGTATGGTGGAAAAGAACTTCTAAACTCCCTTGGGTGCCTGTAAATAAGAAATCATTGGCTAGATCTCCTTCCATCCTTCTTGTTGCAGCGTTAGCTTGTGATCTCTGAGAACGCTCTCAGCAAAGACAGGGAATAAACTTGGCTTCATCTCTTTGGAATGAGTCCCGATGACACAGGGGTTACATATTTAGCTATGAACTGAAAACTTGGCAGTTCAAATCCACCAGCTTCCCTGTAGAAGAAAGATGTGGCAGTCTACTCCTGTCAAGATTTATTGTCTTGGAAAGTGTATGGTTCCACTCTGTTCTATTAGCTTGCTATGAGTCAGAATCAATTCAATGGCAGTGGGGTTTCCCCCTCTCTTCCCAATAACGCCCCATGCTACAGGAGACTCATTCTAGATCTTTAGTTCTACCCGTTCAGCCAAGCAGCTTGAATACATAAGATGCGAGTCTCTGGCTTGTTCCCGGAATGGTGTAGAAAGGCCCCTTGGCTAGCTACTCACCAGGTTCAGGTGTGATCAACAGAGTAATTAGAGCTCTTCTAGGCATCTCTTCCGCACTCCTAGGGTTCTATTAAACCACTTCTGTGGGGTTCTCTTATCTTGTCCTTGATCGGCCCTGAGGACCCACCCCTTCCCCTTCACCAACTGCCGAACTCAGTAGTGGCGGGTGGCGGGTGGGGGTGGGGGTGGGGGTGGTAGGGGGGCGGCGGCGGCATGGGAAAACCCCAGTGCAGAGGATTTTTCCACTTTCTCTACTTTCTGCAAAACTCACGTAGGTGTGACAGGCGCAGTTTGGCTACCACTCAGGCAAGGAGTGTTTGAGGAGCACACGCACACAAAATCAATGGCTGTTGAGTTGATTTTGACTCATGGTGATCCCATGGGTGTCAGTGTCAAACTCCGCTCCATAGGATTTCTAGTGGCTGGTTTTCCAGAAGGAGATCACCAGACCTTTCGTCCAAGGCGCCTCTGGGTAGACTCAAATCTCCATTATTTTTTGTTATAGTTGTGTGTTAAGCATTTACACCACCAAAGGGTTCCTTGATGAGCACAGGATCAAATATGATGAAGGTTGTTGAGAGGTTAACATATACATCTTAAAAACAGACAGCCTGAAAACCAATCCTGACAAGTGGTTATGGATGTTTGTTAATTTGGCTTAAGATTGCCTAGCTATGCCAATCCGCTCTCATATCTAACGGTAAGATATCTTGCTGCATTGAACTTAAACATTTTTCTTGTACAGCTTAAATAAAAACCTTTCTTTATTGTGAATTCGGCGAGGGTTTACATATCAGATCATTTTTACATTCAACAAGTTATACAACTTGTCCAAACTCTGAGTGGCTTGTCTTGTTGCCCCACACCTCCCCTTTTTTGCTCTTATCCCTTTAGTAGGATATTATCTTCTCCTTCTTGTCTAATTTTTGAAGAAAGAATTTGGACCGACAGAAATGGACGTAGGTTAGGTAATCCCAATTATCAGAGCAAATTGCAGTAGATGCAAGTAAATTTTTGCAGTAAAGCTGAGATATTTTGTCCGTGATAACTTGGCAAAGATTGAATCAGGTTGAAATTACTATAACAAAAGTACATACAATAAATGTCAGAGAGGAAATTTTCAGGTGAGAAAAATTCTTAAATATAAATTCAAGCCATCAAGGGAACCTATGTTTTAGGACGCTAGAATGATTTTTCTTAAGGAGCAGGGCTGGGGTGGGGGGATAGAGGGAGCTCCTTGTTCCGAGAGACACAATTATGAACTTTTCGCAAGGTTAGGGTCCAGAATGTGGGAGCGTTTCTCCTGATTTTCCCCTTCCTCACAACCGGATTCTCGCTCACAGCTCCCATCCTGTCTTCCAGCAGGCTTCCAAATCTGAACAGCAGAAACCCCTCGGAGATTCTACTTACCTCTCCTCCGGGAGGGAGCCAAGTCCGAGCAGCAGCAGTTCTCACAGCTGAGCCAGATCCCTCCGCAGGCGTAGGGATCAAGCTGAAGGTAGTGAGGAGGTGTCATGTTGTAGGTAGTGAGGAGGTGTCATGTTGTAGATTGTGCCGCGTTCTCTGTCCTCATTCAACTGCTGCTGCCAGCTTGAAAAGAGGAAGCGGAAATGAACAAACACACATACACACCCCACAAGCAACCCCCAGGCCCCACCTCCCCATTCATAGTCCCCACCTCTGACCCTAGCCACACCCTTTGCTCTAGCTAAGAAGACTAAGTGGGAGAACAAAGCGTCTAAAGCTACCACACGAGTTAAAAATTAGGACCCCTTCATATCGGAGAGCTCTGGTCTTTGTGAAATAGATCTCTTTCTGTTAAGGAAAAAGTGTACCCATGAAATAATGTGTATATAGGAGAGCTTTCCTAAAATATACTTTAATTACTGCTTTTGTAAGTAAAACTTTCTGTCCTAGATGGGTGTCTTAAAATGGGAAAACTCTCTCCTGAAAATGATCTCATTTATCTCAGAGAAGATGCATGTAACTCTTCTCACACATTTGAGAGGGCTCTGAGACCTCTTTTCTAAGTTCTCTTTTCACAACACTTTGATGTTCTGGTACATTCTTTAGAAGCTTGTTTTTAAACATGTTAAACCATCATAAACAAGTTTTTCTGTCTTGACATCTTCACACATTTTTATGTTCAATCCATTTTCAAGTTTTTCTTTTATTAATTGAACATTGTTTTTCCATGGGAAATTTAAAGCTGCACTTAAAAAAAGCTCTGTTGCATCTTGACGATGTCTCCTGTTTCTTGACTTTTAGCTTCAACAGACCTTGGTAAATTCTAAAACACATCTCCTAATCTTCAACTACCTTTGTCACTGGTTAGTATTCAGTATTGCTGACCAACTCGCTCCACCTCTAGTACTTTTCCCTCTCTTAATTTGTTTAATGTATTGTGATATCAATTGCTTTCCTATCTTTCTTTCCTAATTCTATACTGCTTCCTTTCCTGCAATATTTATTTACAAATATCTATCACTTTTTTTCCTGGTAAAAGACATTCCTTCACTGTCCTAAATGTGACTGATTTGCATAGATTCACTCTCTCCTTTCAAGTTGTATGGCTATTTTTTTTTCATATATATTTTTAAAACATTTTATTAGGAGCTCATACAACTGTTATCGCAATCCATACACACATCAATTGTGTATAGCGCATTTGTACATCATTCTCAAAACATTTTCTCTCCACCTAAACCCCCGGCATTAGGTCCTCATTTTTCCCCTCCCTCCCTGCTCCCCCCTCCCTCATGAGCCCTTGATAGTTTATAAATTGGTATTTTGTCATATCTTGCCCTGTCCGACGTCTCCCTTCACCCACTTTTCGGTTGTCTGTCCCCCAGGGAGGAGGTCACATATAGTTCCTTGTAATCGGTTCGAGTTGTATGGCTATAAATAGAGTTGCATCTCCTACCCTGTTCTCACATTCCTTTTTTATTTTTTGCCAAAGGACAACTACATTATCCATAGTATAACTATTATATGATGTAAAAAAGCCTATACTTTTTTTTACTTACTCAATTTTTATGTTTGCTAAATTTTTTGTTCAAGTATATGAGGAAAATAATAATTTTTCTGTGTTTCTGCCTCTCATGCATAGTGAGCACATTTCAGAGTCTCTTCTGACATCCATTTTTATCTTGTTTTCCTCTTTCTTCTCTCTTTAATGACGTTTTGCTTTTCTCCTGCATTATATTCTTGATATCATCCTACAGCTCATTTGAGCTTTGGTCATGTGTTCAGTGCATCAAATGTATTCATGAGATGGTCTCTCAGTTCAGGTGCACTAAACTCAATATAATACTTTGGCTCTTATGAATTTGTTTTCACTTTCTTCAGCTTTAAATTGAATGTAGATATGAACAATCAATGGTCTGTTCTGCAGGAGGTCCCTGGCCTTGCACTGACTAATACTGAGCTCCTGAACAGGCATAGCTGATTTGACTTCTGTGTGTTCCATCTGGTGTGGTCCACATGTGTAGTCACCGTGTGTGTGTGTGTGTGTGTGTGTGTGTGTGTGTGTGTGTGTTTAAGACTATTTCCAATGAATAAGTCTTTGGTCTTATCACATTTTGTCATGCGATCTCATGCCATTTCGATCACCAAGGAAAGCCATATTTTCCAACTACGAATCCTTCTTTGTTTCCAGTCAGTGATTATAATTGCATCTTGATGAAATGTCTGATCAATTTCAGACTGCAGAGTTGGTAAAAATCTTTAATTTCTTTATATTTGGCTTTAGTGGTTGGTGCATATATTTGAATAACAGTATTAAATGTTCTTCCTTCTATGTGTATTGATTTTGGAATATCGCTGTAGCATTAGATTTCAGGATAGATCTTGAATATTCTTTTTGATGATGAATGTGACGCCATTCCTCTGGAACACTGCTCTTGAATAGAGAGCAGCTAAAGCAAATGGATGAAACGATGAAGTAAAAGAGCTGAACAGAATAGTTCAAAGGGTCGTTCAAAAAGAGCAAGTAAATTAAAGTGAAAGAATTTGGAGTTAGAAAACCCAAAGGGAAGAACACGCTCAGCGTTTCTCAAGCTGAAAGAGCCAAAGGAGGTGGGGTGGAGGATTAGACCTCATGTTGTAATATTAAAGGATTGTATGAGCAAAATATTGATGCAAGAAGCATGGAATGAAGATGGAA